GGACTTGCCAAACACCTTGCTTGTGGACTGTGAACTCGTTCTCATGCACGCGTACCTCCACAGTACCAGACTGTACGTTGAAGATCATGTGCATGTACCGTGAGTTCTTCGTGCGCTTCATCTGATCCGGACCGAGTTCGATGAGACCCCAGTTGAAGAAGTTGCCGATTGATCCAATCTTTGCGTATTTGAAGCCGCCATCTCCGACGGCTACGGGCTCGACACCCCTTTCGTTCCATGCGATGGCTGTGATATGGTTAGTGACATTTGATCGTTCTTGAGGTTTGAGGCCACTTACTGTCCTCGATGATGTCGTTGGAGGGAACCTCACCAACAGTGTCGAAACCTCTAAAGTTGCCAACAAGAGTGCCTTGCTCTTCCCAGGGGTCGAGCTCGATTTCTTCTTCTTCGACAACAGTGAGCGCCCTCTTTTTGCTCTTGTAACTGGACTTCTTGTTGGGTCTCCTCTCTTCCTCCACTGCTTGACTCTTCACAATCGACGACATGCTGCCGTCGGGGTCGTAGGAGATGTGGTCGTTCTTCCAGAAGTCGATGGGCGCAACACGATGTCTGCCTGTCCGTCCTATGCGAGCGACATTGTCGGGATCCATCTCGCGGAATACTGAAAGATGTCGTCCCCGTCCGAAGCGTGAGCCGGCTGATGTCGCAGATATTTGATCGATATCCTTCCTGCTGAGAGGGTTTCCGTACGCATCTACCAGCTTGCCGGCCTCCTCGCTCTCCGCCTGAGGAGTCTTGGATTTCGATACTCCATTGGACCTTGGCTCTGCACTTGCGGATTTCGCTTTGGACTCTGCATTTGCTTTCGGTCTGCCCACAGGTTTCGCGGGCTTTGTGAATTCTGCATTAGGCTTCTTCGCTGGTTTGGCTGATGCTGATGCCGATGCTGAGGATGTTGCTTTGTCGCCATTCGGTTGCGCTTTAGCTGGCCGTCCGCGCTTCTTTTGTGCAGGCGCTTCCTCGACTTGTTTCGACTGATCTACTGGGTCGTCGGCCTGCGCTTCAACAATACTGTCGTCTTGTTCTCCACTGGGCTGCGCTTTCGCCGGTCGGCCGCGCTTTTTCGGTGCAGGCGCTTCCTCGACCTGTTCTGATTGATCTACTGAGTCGTCGACCGGCGCTTCAACGATGCTGTTCTCTTGCTCGCTAACCGGTTGCACCTTGGGTGGCCGTCCTCGTCGTTTCGGCGCAACGGGTACTTCCTCAACCTGCTCAGATTGATCGATCGACTCATCCACGGGCGCGTCCAGTTCGCTGACGTCGGATACACGTTGTGAGCGTCGGCGCTCAGCAGGCGCAGTCTTCTTGCTCTTCTGTGACTCCGAAGCTTGCGCTGCGGTAGGGCGGCCCCGTTTGCGCGGCTTCTCTGCTGGTTCCTGCTCCCCTTCTGAAACCTCCACAACATCGCTCTTTCGTTTCCTACCCCTCTTGGCCTTCTCTTTTGGTGGTTCTGGAACAATTCCAGACTCCTCTTCACGATCCAGCTCCTCAAGGTCCTCAACAACTTGGTCATCGGCCATGCTCTCGTCGCCTCCGATTTGTGCAACAAAACTCTCTTCAGCGGCTATTCCCAATTCATTGGCTGTGATTTCTTCCTGTACAATGCTCTCTTCAAATATCGCACTCTCTGCCGGGCCCGGCGATTCTTCTTCCGGTATATCGTACACGTCTGATCGCTTTCCTCGTCGCGCGCCTGAGCCGCTCAGCGCTGGCGTCTCTTGTAAGCTTGATTCGTCCTGTTCGAAGTCGAGGCGTCGCGCAATCGGCTGTGCGGAGTCGCGGATGGGGCTGGATGGGGGCGGAGAGCTTCCCCTCGGCGCCATGGAGGATTGCCGTCGCGGCGAGGATCCGAGGTTGGTCTTCTTGGGCGATCGCGATCGGGGTGGAGGGAGGAGCGTTCGGTTGTTGCGCAAGATCTGGTGCGATGTGGTGAGTTCTGGCATTGAACCTGTCGGGCCTATTAGTGGCATCCCTCGCGATTGTGTCGATGTCTGCGCACTCTCTTGTATTTCCATCGAGCCTGACCCTGTCGCATCATTGCCTTGTTTGGGTGGGGACCTCTCTGGCGACGAGAAGATGCCGGAAATCGGTTCGAGGCCATGTTCGTCGTATACGCCTTTGTCTGCGAGTGTGATGCCAGTCTTCCTGCGCAATGTCAGTTATTGTTTACGCGCATACATTGGAGCGTCTCTCTGCCTACCTTCCCTGCACGCCAACGTTGTAGTAATTGTTTTCGCGCGCTTCGCGTTTCTTTGTGGGCGCCATCTTCAGAGTCGTGTCCGCAGGGAATGAATGCGCGTGTTGGTGCGGGTGACGCGTCGGTGGTGTCGCGATTGAATCGCGAGGGCGCTGTCGATAAGTTGTTTGGGTTTAGGCGGGATGTAAACTAACCGTTAACGGCGGGAAGGCACAGGGTCTTGGCGCCTTCCCCTCCAACTCCAATCCGCCATCGCCATCGCCATCGCCATTACACAGGCCATCACGAGATGTAGTACAGCGTCTACGTTCACTTCTTAGTCTAATGCAATCTGCTCCTTGTGACTTCAGCATATGAATCTGGGTACAGACTTCGCCAAGTGACATCACGGAGCCACCCAAGAGTACATGCATGGCAGCATCCCACCCACCGAGACAAACTAGTTTAGCGCACATCCATCACGGTGCATGAAAACGGCGCAGTATAAGTTGAGGAGCCCACCCAATCGTGGGGACTTTTCCGGTTTCTTCATTCAACCTCAGCCGGCTCTCAGTTGCTAATTCGCATCCCAGACACCAGTCATCCGCCAAAACGAGAGAACACCTCGCTCTCCTACAGCCACAGTCGTCGTGCAGACCACGCACTGCTTCATTCATTGCTCGCATCAAGCATCCGCTCTCCCATCCACCCACATTGTATCTCCCACCAAACGCTCTTCCTGGATCAAGACTTTTTCCCATAACCAACTCTCTTGACGTACAGCCAAAACAGGAAAAGGCCGTCCAATCATGCCCGGGCGACGATGTGCTTTTCGTGAAGCGTCGAAAAACGGCAGCGAGCCGCTGAATGAAAATATACAAGAAAAGAAATCGTAAGCATGTCGATGATTCGTCACATCGTGGGCGCAATCTCCAACGTCGCTCATGCTATCAGAGCGACTTGGTAGTTCCAAACTCGTTCCAGATCAAAACATCGACGGCATCTGGAACACCCTACTGGGGGCAGGCGCTCTGGACGTGGCCGGGCTGCTTGCAGCGGTAGCACACGCGCTCAGATGAAGTCTCCTGGGGGCAGTCGCGCGACAGATGGCCAACCTCGCCGCCTACAAAAGGTTAGTCGTGCTCTTCCAAGTTCATCGCTGTGTACTTACAGTTGTAGCACTTCTGTCCCTGGGTGCAGTCACGGCTCATGTGACCGAAACCACCGCACGAATAACACGTGGTTTGGCGAGCACCTCCGTAGCCACCGGCACCACCGCCGTAGCCTCCACGACCGCCGCCGTAGCCGCCAGCAGCACCGCCGTAGCCACCGCCCTGGGAGCAGTTGCGGGCAATGTGACCGACCTGGCCGCACTTGTAGCACTCTTGGCTAGGGGCGCCACGGCCACCCATCTGGGCACCGCCGTCCTTGGTGCACTCGCGCGAGATGTGGCCGGTACCACCGCAGCGGTAGCAGGTCTTCTCAGCCTGGGGAGAGGTGCACTCGCGGCTCACGTGGCCCTTCTCGCCGCAGTTGTAGCAGGTTGGGGTACCCTTGGTGGGGCACTCGGCAGCGCGGTGAGAGGAGTCTCCGCCTGGACATGGTCAGCGCGTGTTCAAAGATGCAGTTCCGAGTCAGGCATGGTGGTCTCCGCGCTCGAATACCGATCTGGACCTGTCGCTGGACCCTGAGGCGTGACGCTCTCGCGATCTGATATACAAAGCGGGGCCGCATTCGGACCGTGTCACCGCATCGTGGGTATAGAGTCAACTTACAGTTGTAGCAGCCACGGCCACCGGCAGCGGGAGCAGGTGCTTGGTAATCCATTTTGTAGAGTTGGAAGACTGGTGAGTGTTAGCTGTAGTCCGCACGCGCCATGCCGTGATGTCGGGCTTTGTTCTTACCGAAGTATCGAAAGGGTAAGGGAGTGACGTTAGAAGATGATTGTCTTCTAAAAAGGTATTGAAATAGTCGTTCAAAAGTCGCACACCACCAATTGTTTGATTATCGGAAGCTGAGGGGTTGGATCGTTGGAGAGAGAGAGCGAGGGGCACAAAGTCGACTGCTGAAAATATCTGTTCGGGCTGGGTTGTGCTTGCCGCTAGTCTAAGCGAAATACGGTCTAGCTTCACCGTTCATTCTTGCCTTCAAGGTGGGTCTGGTGTTTGCGCGAAATCAGGGACAGCCGTCGCTGTGGTTTGTGTTCCTGTAAGGGTCCGGAACAATAGGGCTTTGATTTCACGCACATTGCAGATATGCGCGTGATTGGAACTGCTGTTCATGGTACCTAAGTCGGCTTCGACGTCATTGGAAGGGGAAGCATCGCTTGACAGGCCTCGTGCAGATCTCGGGATGCATATGCAGCTAACCTGGCGTGGAAAGATTGAGTAACCGAACGATCGCACACGTGGCTGCATGTAATATTGATGCCGAGGCACGAACAGGTGGTCAGCGGGAGATCTAGAGATCTGGTATCAGTAGACAATGGGGAGTTGGGACGTCCGTATAGCGTTGGGAAGTGCTCGCTGCTCGACTTGAATGCCAACTACCAGCCTACAAATGCATCCACGCATGCAGCACCACCGATGAACAGCGTTCGCAAAGTCATGTTCATGTTCCTAAGGTAGACCCTGAAATCTCGGAAAGATATTTGATGTTCTAGACCCGCGCAAAAAGTCGGGTGGTGTCGCGGTGCCCCCACCTCCGGCCAAAAAAAAGCTTTCATCCCATGTCCACCACCCCCCTCCCAAGGCACCACCACCACAACCACGACCCATCCTATGCCTCAGGGAGCGCAAAAAGCTGGACTTGCAGGGAATCGAACCCTGGACCACTCCCACATTAAGACGGTTCGATTGCTCGAAGTCTTGATGCTAAGGGAGTATTATACCACTAAACCACAAGCCCGGTTTTGGCGATTTTAACACAAACCACAAGCTCCTTGATGGATCGACGACGAAATTGTTCGTAGATAATCCAAGGCAATCGACGTGTAGAGCAGGTTATCAGGCTCGTTTTGGTAAGTTGGGAAGTCTAGTAAGATTCTGGAATAGTGTCAGACATCGCGAAGGGGTATTCACGAACAAGACCCACTTCCAAGGAGACTGCCCCTCCGCTCCGACTCAAGAAAGGCCTCATTGCGTATCTGTAAATGATGTGGAACTCTACTTGTCCACTCTTCTTATTTACCAAGGATGCATCAGTCCCTCAATTCACCTCTAGCGACGTACACATGTCCACCTCGCTGGGAAAGAACTTGACTTCGTGCCTCTAGTCAATCTACAAGTCTACAAGGCTCTTCCATAGATCCAGACAAGGTCTTGGAAGATGAATAAGATGTTGTGATAACTTTGGAATGTATGGGCCAGTGGGCATAATCGAACAGATGCCGAAGACTAATATAGCACGCGACAAGTATCAAAAAGATTGTGAGAATTTGCATCTACCAACTACCATGACCTCGTTGTTTCCGACCGCGATGGGACTGTAGAGGCAGGCGTATACATACTTGTGCCCAGTGTACAAACTAAGTGACATAGTTAGAGTTAGAGTATGCACAGTAGCGAGACTTTTACAGGTTTAATCGTGCAACAAGTGTTAGAGTACACATTGTCTTCTGTCGTGCTAGGTGCTCGAGGACAAATACCGCGAATACCTCTACGGCAGGTTATACGGAATTCTGTCCAGGTAAAGGCAAAGTGATTAAAGGCAAAGCGATTCTAGGCAACGTGATCCTGGCGAGTGTGAAAGTGGTATGAAGATGTCTTGTGCGGGATGTAAGCAGCGTTAAAGGCTTTGACTACCGGCGCTAAATGCGTGATAGCAGAAAATAATGTGAAGTAGAAGACCGACCCACACATAATTACCAAGATGTGTCGGGCCATATGCTCGAATATCCTTAAGTAACGCAAAAGTTAACTGCAACAGTCTCTCCGCTAGGCTTGCAGGTTTGTCATAACATAGGAGTAAGCCGCACCTTTTTATAAAGACTGTTGCCTGCAGAGTTTAGAGACCTCCTTCGATATGCCCCGCGCTGATGTATCACGTAATGGTGGGGGTCCTTGCCAGTGTTGTATCGTCGATGGAGGGGGGGGGGGGTTTGCGCTCTCTCTTGTTGCGCCATATATGGACCGTAAGGCGCTGGTACAATCAGACCCCACTACATTGAATCCGATTTCTGTAGTACACAGAGACATCCTGCGGTACATCCCGCGCCAATCCATTCTATCGAGGCGGGTTGACTTGCCAGTGCTGTATACATAGTTATTGTCGTTCGCCAACAAGTTTTCTACTTGCTCTTCATGCGCCGTTCCTATGGATGTTGGTGCTGTAGTCGAATAGCTGCCTGTTGTTCATCGCAGACGTCTTCGGACGTATCTATACCGCGCCAACATACCTTCATTGCGACGGGTTAGCACATGTAGAAATCCAAATACTGGCTCAACAGCGTCTTGGATACGTATCGACTACTTATTTCGCTCCCCACCATATGCTTGAAGCTATCTGGCACGAAGCCCGATGCTTCCATGTCATACTCCTTGTGTACTCAGCGGAGCCGCCAAGAATCGGGGCTGGGAAGCTGCGCTAGTGCTACGAAAGAACAGCGCGGCTGCTCAACCTGGATGAATTTTTGACAGTATGCGACGCGAATTGCAGCCACCCCTGGTCTCAGCTGGTGCAGCGTTGAGAGTCGAGGTTGCTTCGTCGTAGAAGTGGTCGCATTGGGCCGATGTCAATGGGCTTGCCAAGTGTTCATTCCAGGCGTCGACTGTTCAAATCATGTATTGTTGAGAATGTAAGACTGCGCCATGTTCTTGGTGCATTGGCGCGTCCTGATGACTTTCGTTCATCGATACCGGACGAGCCGCTCGAACGACATGACAAAATTGCTGCGGATCCGGGGAAAGTGAGTTTTTGCGGGGTAGTCTGTCGCCTGTATCGTCCGATTTACGTTCATGGTGTATTTTGATATCGAACTTGGGTATCGGACTGGGTTACGTTTTCGAGATGGCGTTATGTGTCTGTCGAGACGGTATCCAAGGTACGCGATAGTGCCGTCACGTCTGGCACACGGAGTCCGATGCTTTCATTGCTGAGGTGTTATATCCTGTGGCGTAGAGTATAGATACCAAGAAAGAGAGGAGAAGTCTTGGTCGTAGGTAAGATTACTAATGCTTTTGATCATCCTTTGGTAGGTATCCTTGTAGTAGGCAGGATTGCGTACTCCCTCAAGAAAACTTCTGAACTGTGTTTTTGAAGTGCACTTGGCTTCCACAACTACACCAGAAGGCGCGATTTACGAGCCAATCACGAAGAAGTAGAGAATTGCCTTCTCCGCAAACAAATTGGTGGGTACGAAACGTGGAGGAAGGCGTAGCCCTGGAGGTAACGTGAACACGCGAGGCTGTCTGTGTCAACGTCCGTGCTGTTGAGCACAGTGTCACGGCAGCCCCGAAGCCTAGCGAGAGGAATGGCTTTTATCGACAATGTGGAAGCGAAGGAAGAAAGTCACATCATTTCCACAAGATGAGAGTGCGAGTGTGGTTCAGCTGCACCTGGCATTCTCGGCTATCGTTTCGTTATCGCGTAATGACATCAGAGCTACCCATGGATTACCTTGCGCAACATCGCTAGATAATCACCTTTATCGCCGCGCAATACGGTAAATAAGACAGAGTTTTGTTCGCGACAAACTTCAGGGAGCGAACCGTTGGCCCCTCGCCTAAAGCTGCGCCTGTTCTTTTGCCTTTTCGCCCGACGCCTTGGAGAACTGTGGCAACTGAGTTACTGCCCAGTAGTCCTGGGTAAACCGCGGGAACTCTGCATCGGTTCATCCGAACCCAACACCGTGTTTCGAGACAACGGCGCCGAAGTATTGACCGCTGCAGATGTGCCCAGAGAAAATTATCGCACCGAGGCCGCACATGTCAGCATCATCGCGGCGATCTGAATTCGCTGTACGAAGTTCAGCCGAAAGCCATGTTTCTCTCAGCGACGTCAAAAAGTTGCTACACGTGCGATCAAGGCCATCCACATACCAGCTGTCTCTTGTCAGGCAACCCGCCGGGTTATTTAAAGAGTCTGGAGTAGAGCGACGGAATCTGGGCCGTCCCCAAAGGCCAGGACCACGGATCTATCTACGCGAATCTCGGGCGCTAACGTGATCTACACGCCCGATTTGGCAACGACCCAGGGGTATGTCTTGGCTTATGACCGCCACAAAGCCTCCGAAGCGAAGACAGCACCTGCATGCTCCTTCGCGACGTTGTGCCATACGCGCGTTGCGAGCTGGAATCATGTCCGGGTTCCGAGAAAAGCAGATGCCGTGGAAGCCCGCATGCGCTTGAGTGTCTGTCGTAGACTTCATCAAAGACCTCATCTTACCCATCTTCCTACACAGCACACTCCCTGTCAAGACTTACATTATTAACTCTCCGCTAGCGGGCTACCTCCTGTATCGCAGTCTCAGTGTCAGCCTCGACCAAATCTGACACGCGCGGCGGCTGACCCGTCCCATAGCCAAGCACACTACACGCTCCACGGGCGTCGTGGGCATCTTTTTCTAATGTCTGGGCATACGGTAGTCCAGTCGCCTCTTATATGGAATTCGCACCCACATCCCTTTGTTGCTTTCTTGGTCTATCTTTTTTCCTTGCTCACTTTGTGAAAGGGTCAAAAGGCGTCTGTTCACTCTTTACAGTGTCGTCTTTACCTTTTGTTCGGACTTAATATCGGTCGATCTTTTTGATCTTACACTCGCTTCGTACATTCGTTAATTCTTCGATTATATTTTGGGCAGACTCATAGTCACGTCATCATAATGCGCTACACTGGACTATACGCTGCGGCTCTGGTCGCACCCCTCGTGGCTGCTCACGGCGACTTCCCTGTACCGAAGATTGTTGGTCTAGGACCCCGAGAGATTGGTCAACTTAGGAGCAGGAACATTCTTGGTGGACATGCGGCGCACGTTGCAGGGCCCAATCTACGTTTGACGGCACGTCAAGGTGGTATTGATGGCCGGTGCGGACCGAACAACGGCGGTGCAAGCTGCGCCGAGGGCTACTGCTGCTCTGTGGAGGGCTACTGTGGTCAAGGAGGTAAGGTATTCGGGTACAACTTGAGAGACCAATGCTAATCTTCATAGGTGACTACTGTGAAGCACCCGACTGCCAGTTCCAGTACGGCCCTGCCTGTGATGCCAACAAACTCCCTACTGGAGGCAGCACTCGCAACATTGCTCGTCCCAAGCTCGGCAACCAGCCGTACGGTGGAGAGGGCATCTACGACTGCACCGAGCCAAACACGATCGCTATCACATATGATGACGGTCCTTACATCTACACTGAAGGTGTGTTGGATCAGTACAAGGCTGCCGGAGCAAAGGCCACTTTCTTCGTCACTGGTGTCAACATCAACAAGGGCGCAATTGACGACCCGAGCAAGCCGTGGGCTGCTACTATCAAGCGTATGATCGCCGAAGGTCATCAGGTTGCCAGTCACACATGGTCGCATCAAGATCTTAGCGCCATCACCAGCCAACAGCGATACGACCAGATGGTTAGGAACGAGGTACGATGTTCTGCTATGAATTACCCATGAGAAGTACTGACCAAGTCCGTAGATGGCCTTCGCCAACATCATGGGCAAATTCCCCACTTACATGCGCCCGCCATACTCCTCTTGCACCGCAGCCTCAGGATGCCAAAAGGACCTCGCTGACCTAGGCTACGTCGTCTCCTACTTCGACCTCGACACCGATGACTACAACAACGTGACCCCAGACAAGATCCAGAACGCCAAGGACAACGTCAAAAAAGCCATCGACCCCAGCAACCCCCAGGTGGACGCTTTCCAGGCCATCGCACACGACATCCACGAGCAGACAGCCAAGAACCTGACTGGCTACATGATCCAAACCATGCAGGCGAAGGGATACAAGCTGGTTACTCTGGGCGAGTGCTTGGGCGAGCCTCAGACAAACTGGTACCGAGACGCTTCTTCCGGTCGCGTAGCCACCACATCTGTCTTCACACCACCTGTCGCGGGTCCTACATCATCTGGAAGCGTTAGTTCCGCCGCACCCGCTGCTACTCCTACTGGTGTTTCTACCGACGCTACTTGCGGAGGCACATCTGGCTTCACCTGCCTTGGTACGACCTCTTGATTTGGACTACACTTCACCCCACTGACATCCACGTAGGCTTCGCCCAAGGCGAATGCTGCTCCCGCTACGGCTTCTGTGGAAACACCGACGGTCACTGCGGAGTAGGCTGCCAGGCCGGTTTCGGAAAATGTGGCAACAATGGCACTGCCCCTTCCTCTGGAAGTGGCAGTGCTTCTCAGCCAGCAGCTACCGGTGCTTCTTCATCCGCTTCTGCTCCTACTTCTGCTCCCAGCGGTCTCGTCACTACTACAGATGGCTCCTGCGGTGGCACATCTGGCTTCACGTGCGTTGGTTTTGTAGACGGCGAGTGCTGCTCTCAGTACGGCTTCTGCGGTAAGACGACCGACTATTGTGGAACGGGCTGCAACCCGCTCTTCGGAAACTGCGCTGGTTCTTCTGGTTCCCCGGCACCTTCGAGCGCTGCGGCTCCTTCGACTGCTGCCCCAAGTACTGCTGCACCTACTACCGTATCCACATCTACCCGCCCTGTTACCACCAGCACCAGCACCAGCACACGCACCTCATCCGCCCCCGCTGCTACTTCCTCCCCCGCGGGTCTCAAGGTCAGCAAGAACCGCCTGTGTGGTGCACGCACCCAGCAGACGTGCAAGGGCTCTGCTTGGGGTAACTGCTGCAGCCCCGCTGGTATTTGCGGAAACAGCCTGCTGTCCTGCATGAAGATGTTTGGATGCCAGCCTGGGTTCGGTGACTGCCGGTAGATGTGCTTGGATGTTGTTGTTCAATTCTTCATGTATTCTAGTTTTGGGGATTGGGGATTAGATGGTAGATGGGGATGGTGGATAGCTGAGAACAGTCTTTCAAAATGCCATCGTTGGCCATAATGTCTTGTACACATATGTTTCATCTGATGGGCCTCTCGGGCTTGTTTGTGTTCGTTCTTCATATACTCCTGCGCGAGTCATCTCCGCACTGAAGTAATTAAGCATCGCGCGCTGCCTGTATTATGAAGATAGAGCCTAGAGACGTGCCTTGTGGTCGGTCTTTTCATAAACGCGTAGTATACATTCTCCGTGCGAAGATAGAGTAATGTGGCACGTATGCTAATGCAAAGCAAGACCGCATGCTTAAGCATAATTATACGTCCTGGAACATTTCTGGTAAGACATAGGCAACAGACTCTCTTTGCGCTGAAGCCTAGCGGTATAGCGCCTTGATTGATATAAAGAAACTTAGCATAGCCTCTTCTTCACCTGCCTTTATTATGACCAGGCGCCGCGCTAGTTTTCTAAATATCAGCAATGTTACCATACTACAGAACACTCGCTAGCTTTCCATATATTACCGTACCTTTACCCTCTCACTGTTAGACATGTTCTAGTATGAGGTCAGAACGAGTTGCCACGGGCAACTTGAACGGCAATCGTTCTGGCGCCGGTTAACGCTACAGTTTGCTTACAGACGAGAGCTCTACTTGCATTGCACGACTGTCTTCTCGAGTCTATTGAGTGTCTCTGTACCAGCGTCGGGAATTATACTTATGGCGCACCAGGATCAAACACGGGAACTCCGATTAGATGTCAGCGATGCGAACCTGGATTTGCTACCAAGCTACTGTGAAGATGAGAGTGGTCATGCGATATTCTTGAAGAAGGTGGTATGAAGCAGTTCCATATGAGTATGAAGTCTTTGGTGCAAGCGATAAGCCGCGCCGGTTCAAGAGGGCGACAGCGTTACCTAGTAGATACCCGGGTAAGTGACTTAGTTTTCATCAGCACATACACCATCGGGGGAACATATACAGATGTGAAGAAACTGGTAAGACTAGCAGACCTCATATAGGTACGTGGACGTTGTGGCTATCTTGCAAGTGCCCACACGTGATAGCGCAGACTCCACCGCCACGTGCCGGGCTGCACCGCGATACCGGAGCTCTCTCACCTGCAACCTGCAACAGCATCGAGCAGCGCATACAAATACAATAACTCTCGCACATCTCCTCCATCACTCCTTCAACCCACTACTTCCAGCTTCCTCTTCTGCATCACCCGGGCATCATCTGCACAAGCTCTGACTAGTATTGCAAGACTGCTACCCAAGCGAAATCACTTCAGCAACCTACAACACCAGACATTTCCTATCGTAAGCGGTGACAATCTCCCCAGACGCCGCCATGGCCGGAAATGGTGCGCCAGCCAGCGCGCCTTCAAGATTGCTATCCGCAGCTCCAACGGTATGTTCTTTGCCGATACGTTTACGCACCAACCTAGAACTAATCAGTGTACGCAGCCTACAACAAGGTTTTTGTCAAACAAGTCACCGTGGCTTTTACCACTACCCAATCTCTTCCGCCATCTCCAGCTTACCCCACGTCTGGGAGCGCGGACAGAGGAAACAAGCGACATGACGCAGAGGTAAGTCCTGGCGCAATATTCGTAAACATATACTGACTTCGTAGGTGAAACACGGGATCAATATCAAGTACCCGGTCGCCATGCAGGCATACGACCCCCAGGACATGTTCTTTGCGAAATCTTCCATCAAGTCCTGGACAAAAGAAGAGTCGGCGAAAGAATATGACAGGCTGGCAGGAGCGTATATGGCTTTGAGTCATGAACACATCTCCATCCTTGTCGATCAAGACAGCAAGGAGAAGAATGCACGCCGCCAAGTAGTCGACTCGCGCCGATCCCTCGCAAACGGAGCGCAGATGTTGCTTTGGAACTCCGAAGCAGCGTTCCAAGCATCGAAGGCGATTGCCGGAAGGATATGTCAACCATCCACTTGGACTGACCCGCAAACACAGACTCAGTACACCGGGAAAGCACCAGGATCATTCACCCCACAAGAAGCACAGCATATCCTCAATCAGTACAAGAACGACTGTATCAACGACTTGAAAGGCGCCACACTGGCGGCTACCGGCGCGAACCTCGAAGAATTCTGCATCGACGAAACCGTCGTTACGCAGGCGTACGATCTACCTGGCGATAGATCGTGGTTTGAGAAGATCAGTGACAACTGGAAGGACGCTGCCAGAGATGTACTGGTGGACAGCAGCATGACTCTCGGCATCATCGAGGAAGCCCCACCCCGGCGCCAAGTGAGCTTCCCGCCGGCGCGTACGAAAGGCTGTATTACCCTGCCGACATCGCTCTTATCTTCTCGGCGTGCCGATGTATAAAAGCAACTTTTCGACGGCTCTGTCTTCCTTCTTACACACTCATCTTCTCAAAACGAGGATTTTCAAAAAAGGAATCAGACTGAAAATATGTGATCCGGTCTCCAGACCTTGGTCTTGTATAAAGATCAAGAAATCGAAACCATGTGCGCTCGTCTGCCCTCACCCTGGGACATCCCCATTTAATTTTCAAAAACGACGCATAGAATGTTATGTTCGACCCACTGATGGCGCGCGACAACCTTTTCGATGCGGCGCAATCCGACTTCCCTTTGACCGATCCGATGAGCGAGTCCTTGACCGAACCGGCGCGCGATCAGGTCATTCCAGCGCCTAAAGATGAGAAGAAGAAGAGGAAATTGGGTCCCGAAGTTGCCGAAACAGAGCTGAAGAGAAGGATTGAAAGGGCCGACACGTATTGGGTGTTGGACGTTACAACTGAGGATATACAACGCACAGTGAGTAATCCCTATCTGCATGATAACATGAGCATGTATACTGACCTTGATCTTTTAGCTAAGCTTCGCCACCGGCCGCTCCCATTTCACACAATACAACATCATCTATCCGCCGGATGCGAAACCACTCGATGATGATCCCTCCGTCGCCGCCTGGGTCTGTGAAGCTGACCACGCATGCCAGTTTCGTCCCCTGCACGGACATGGTTTCGCGACGTGCATTTTTTGCCGGAAAAAGACAAAAAAGCTGGCCACGGATTGCTTTATCCCAAGATCGAGCGTCGTCATGAACATGGCTATGAACAGTATGATCAAAGAGGAGGGCGATGTCTACAAGCAGGACAAGAACAAAGAGGGTGAGTGGACGGATGGCGCCAAAGTTGGATTGAATGTCGCCAAATATACCGAGGACTTTATGGGCTTGACCTCAGCATAGATGCTAGGCGACGTCTACACGCGCGAATACCGGAAAATCCCCACCATAATCGCCAAGGCGGTCAAGACTGCCGAATTGACGAACACGTCGCTTACTCCATATCAAACGACATCCGCGGTATTAAGACAGCCAAAGGAAAGCCTGTCGTCAAGCTTCTTCTCCATCGACGACTGCACAAAGGAGACGAGATCACCCAAGCAAAGTGGAAAGAACTCGGCGCCAAAGCTCCGTCGGATCGGCTATCAGAAGATGAACGGCCGGTGAAATTCATATCCGAAGTAAATTACAGTCGTGGGTCTGAAGAGCGATGTTCAATGATATTCAAAACACAATCCCCAGGTTGCTACATCGACTTTGTATCCAACAAGATTGTAGTTGTGAAGCCGTCCTGCTGACTACGTCAACCTCTGTCTTCGACAATACCACTGCCATAGAGCACTGTGTTGAATACGTCTAGCGCTGACTTCTATGAAATTAATATTGTAAGACCAGCCTGCCAACTACACAGGTGATGAGGGAAGAGCCGCGTTACTCCGACCATAACTAACGACCTCCTAGCCATCTCAGTAAGAAACTTGTAGCACCTGATAATGTTGCGAAGGTAGCAATGCTACTCAGGTATCTCACGCTGTAAGCAGCTTCTGCTAGTCTTCGCAGGAACGATGTCTGGCTCAGGACTGATCCCGTTGTTGTGAACCAAGCAGCATTCCTGGCAGCTGACAGTCATGGTACCATCACACCTGGAGAGCCAATGAAGTCTGGTGCGCTGAATCCTCACCTGCGCGAGGGGTGAGTAATCGCCGATGTATAAACTGCATGTGAGACAGACAATGACTTCGTACACCCATCTTCAGGTGCATCGACGCGGGCTTGCCACAGCGCAATACCATGTACTGCTTTCGTCGAACACGTACCATCGAAACCAAACATGAACACGGAGAGACGGCGGCACGAGCAATTGCAGCACATGCCGACGACTCGAACGCTCACGAATACTACGATACAGTCGGGGTCGGCGACATCGATATTCAGTCCTATATACTAGGCAGAGAGAGGGCGAGTCAAGGCGCTGCGCTTGAAAAGCATCTAGGTATACTGACGTCAGATTTGCAGATGAGTCGGCGAGAAGCGAGGAAGATGTTTGAGCAGGCAGCTCGGACAGGGTACGTACAGCATGGGAACTACGAGATCACGCTTCGTGCTGAGGTTGAAGAGCGGTTGCGCAAACGCGAGCGAGAACACCTCGAGGTCGTCGAATAGCACAATCCGTCAAGGCAACGATGGACGACACGCATGAGTTTCTGATACGGAACAGCGCTGATGATACGCCCGTACCGCGAGGCTACACTGGCAGTGTCACTGGCGCTTCCAAGGTCATGTTGAGGGATGGAGACAGTGCAGCTGACATGGTCCTCAAGGAGCTTGAGGCTGTCTTCTACAAGCATAAGCTGGTCCTGTCGAAGATCCGTAGGAGTATACGGAACGCTATATTGGAAGAGCTTGCTCAAGAGATGCGATCTCTACTGAAAACCTCCATCAAATCAACGACTACAGGACTGACCACCGGTAAAGATGGCACACCAAAACCGATCCGCAAACAAGCCAGGAGTACCCAAGCCGAGCTTGAGGGTCTCCACAGTGCGCGCATTTGCGCTCTCGAGGGCTTGAAACGGCGCAACGAACAGGATGAGATAACCGAGCCGGATGTTAATGAGGAAGAGGGTCTGGACGTGGATTCGCTCGAGGAAAACGACGGCAAGCAACACCCACGGGGTAAGCCGTTGCATTGGCAAGATTTACCAAAGGAAGACGTTCAAGTGAATATTGCTGATGGGGTCGAGGAATGCGATGCGGCTACGGAAGAAGAACGTGTAGTATTTCTCAGGGACTTCGTCGCATATACAAGGCAGGGCGTCGATGGGTTGGAGTGTTGGCTCTGATGGTTTGATCGAACGGTGGAGCAGGCCGTTGAAGACAAGGAATAGAATTGTAAGTGACTCGAGAAACATGTGCAAGAAAAGGTATACACGCGCTGTGAGGAGCTTACAAGGGCGTTTGACGAGTTCAGGATTGTTAGATGCACTAGGAGCGCGACATGTCCCTTTTGCCCAGACCGGTCGTACAAGTCCGCGGCCAAGTGGCTGGCTCACGTTGAGCATCGTCACCGAGAGGAGCTTTGGCTGAAGGAGGTGGCCGAGGAGGAGGAGTAGGAAGAGGAGGAAGAGAACGATGGCGATGAGGATCCTGATTTTGAGAACTTGTGAGAGTGTTCGAGTCAGTGATATGTCGAATGAAGATCGTATGGCCATAAGATACAATGTGGTGCTTGCGAGTGCGACGGCCTCACTGCTCGGTCATATAATCAAAACGAGCGCAGTGCATTTGCGACATCGTTTATCATCTTCTCCCACCTGCTGACGCCTTCACTCCCTTCATCTACATTGACACAGTTCGCACATTCCCGCGCTGAAGTCACCACATTCGGCGTCCCGATATGTCTGCATAACCAAGACTTCGTGATGAACTGCGACTTCATTCCATATCGAAGCTAGGCCAACTCGTGATTTGCGTCATGGTCCGAAATTGCATGCTGAAACATATGTGATAGTATCACCTTATACTAGAAAAATAATGGACGGGTCTGGAGCCTACATGGTCGTTGGGTCAACTACTTTACATGTTTTTACCTTGATGTAGGCGCCACAGTGTCCTGAAATCTTCCTTGAATAAGGCGGTATGCAGGGTATGGGAGGGCAAAAGCAAAGGTTGTAAAAGAAATGAAGTTTGACAAGTGCCAGTTCGCGTGCGTTGGACCTGCATCGCTCTTTCCAGTCCAGTCTGCACGCATTGCAGTCAATACGGAAACTCATGCGATGTCGACGTGAGTGATCCATCGATGCCAGGTAATAGACGTGACGATTGATGTGACTCGACGATGAGCTGTCACATTTGGATGATGTGGTGAGTGCAGGCCAAGTGAGTGGCGCCGTCTCCACAAGTTCCCAATACGCTAGCCTAGCTCGTCTGCGGCGCCAGCGATATCACGTCGAGCTGTCGCCCTTCCTCTTGCATCGCCAATTGACCTCTGCGCATCACCGCAGCCCGTCACCACACGCCCCCGTCTGCTCGTCAGCTTTCTCTTCATCATCCGCTTTCTGTTTATCACCGGCAGCTTCGCGCTTTCCTCATCTGGGCTTCGGCCGCGCACTTGCAATTTTGGGTCCTGAGTAAAGTACGTCGGTTTGTCATGGCGTCACTGTGCTGGCCATCGCGGCGGTGACAGCGCGCCCTTACCCACTCTCACTTATTAACGCCGCCCAGATCTGCCCTAGTCTCCTTCACCATGTCGGACCTGCAGGAGCTGCTTGCCCGTCTCAACGGCGGCGCATCTGGCAACCAGCAACAACCACACGGCTACCAGCACCCGTCTGTCTCGTCGCCTCTGTTCTCTCCCCAGCCCGGCGGCCCGCAGCCTCATCACCAGTCTGCCGTCATGTCGCCCAACTCGTCCATGGCCAACACGCCCGCGCCCGAGCCCGTGTCGCAGCCCACGCCGCAGCAGCAGTCGACCAACCTGCTCAACCTCCTCCGCTTCAACTCGCAGGGCGGCGGCCCCTCTCGACGCGTCTCGCAGCAGTCGCAGGCGCCCGACATTGCGACCAGCATGGCCAGTGTCATGGGCAGTAGGACGCCCTCTCACAGCGCCGCCGCCCCAGCGCAGTCGCCTGGCGCCGCCCAGCAGAACCCCCAGGACCTTCTCCTGCGCCTGCTGAACCACCCCAAGCCCGCCCAGACCAGCGGCCGCTCCTCTCGCGCTGCCTCCGTGCTCTCTCCGCGTGCGTCCAACAAGCCTGAAACGGTTGTGGACGACCTCGCGCAGGACCTCGCAGACGCCGAGCTCGAGCATGTCTCGTCTGACCCCACCGTACACACCCCGGGCGCCTCTTCCCCCATGAGGATGTTTGGCTCCGACAGCAAGGAGCAGTCGTCTCGCTTCCAGCCCGACGCCGCCTCGCTTGCCCCCAAGTTCACCTACGTCAACCCCTTCGACCAGCTCGAAGCTGCTAGCCCCCGCAAGAACACCCCGATCCAGCAGGGCTCCAAGCCTCCTGCCCCCAAGATGGAGATCCTCAAGAAGAGGGCAGTCGATGCTTCTTCGCCCGCTCCCCAAGACGACGCTCCTGCCCACACACACGAAACTGTGGCCGAGGCCGTGAGCGACTTGGGCGAGCAGGTCGGTCAGCAGATCGAGGACGCGCTCGCTGAAGCTGAAGCCGAGGCCTCTGCTCTCCCCCCACCTGAGGAGCTCGCAGAGGTCCAGGAAGTTATGACTGAGATTGCAACCGAAATCAAGGACGAGTTTGCCGACCCAAGCACAGCCAAGGACATCGAGGCCAGCTTGCCCAAGCCCATCGCAGCTGCCTTGAAGGAAGTCGCTACCGAAATTGCTCAAGACAACGTCGCGGAAGACTGGGAGACCGCCGAAGCCGAGGAGAGCCTCGCAAAGGGTGAGGACCAGACGGTAATAGTCTACAGGTTCCCCATGCGCGCCTTTGCCTCCATCCAGGTCAACCAGATGCCGCCTCGTCGTCTCTACTTCGCCAACGAGCTCTTTATGGACATTGCTCGCTTGAAGAAGGACTTTGACCAGATCGACCGCTCCCTGGTATCCGCCAGCAAGAACTTCATCGTATACGCACTCGTCAAGAAGGGCGGCTTCCGCATCATCCGCCAGGAGAACGGTCAATACCGTCAGGTCTTCGAGAACCACCAAGAGCGCATCTTCAACATCGCCCTGTGCACCTCCGCAGACGACTCACAACAACCGCTCGAGAGCATCCTGGGTATCGGTGTCAACGGCACTGTCTTCTGGACTTCTCTCGACCCTGCGCGCGAGGACCAGTTCGGCGAGAATCTCGACTCTCAGGGTTTGATGCTTCCCCCGTCGCCATCTCAAGATGATAACACATCTGGAGGCCAGCTCAAGACTCGCGCGAAGCCATCTTCGCGTCACCCAGAGTTCTTTGCTGTCGGTAGGGGCAAGTCCATCCACATCGTCTTCCCCAAGGTCGCCGCTGAATATGCTCGGTCTAAGAGCCGCATCTGCCACACGGAAAAGTACCTCAAGGAGCGCTCCCTCAAGATCCTCACTGGCAAGGCTGGTAAGGACTTCACTTTCAGCGAGGACGACACCATCATCGTCTCACTCGACAAGGCCGGCCGCATGCGCTTCTGGGACATCCGTACCCTCACCGAGCCAGACCTAGGCAACCCTCACAGCCCTCCCCGCCAGGTCGAGGTCTCCGAGACTCTGCTTGAGTTCCACACGACCACACCCAATGCCAAGTCGTGGCCCACTTCGGTCTTCTTCTTTGACAAAGACAAGCCATATACTAAGGGTATTGCGCTGCGTTATGTCATGGTCGGCATGAAGCAGAACCACGCCTTCCAGCTGTGGGACCTGGGTCTCAACAAGGCCGTGCAGGAAATTCACCTGCCTCACGAGAACGAATCGGACGCCATCTGCAGCGTATCGTTCCATCCCCGCACGGGCATCATGGCTGTCGCCCACCCTACCAGGAACTCAATCTTCTTCGTCCACGTCTCCTGCCCGAGGTACAACCTTCCTGCTCTTAGCCAGGCTGCCTACATCTCCCGTCTGGCAAACAAGGGCGACAGGGGCCAGAACAATCTGCCTCCAGTCAACGCTACTGCCATTATGACTAGCATCACGGAGTACTCTTTCGCCTCCAAGGGACAGATTAGGAGCCTGCACATGCTCAACGAGCCCGCTGGACCTTCTGATGTCGACGACCCTGACAACGCCGCTCTCTTCGAGCTGTACGTCATGCACTCCAAGGGTGTCTGCGTCTTGCGCATCCGCCGAAGCGACCTTGGCTGGAAGAAGGAGGGCGAGCCCATTCACCCCAAGGAAGCTGAGGAAGAGGGCGTCATCACCATCTCGCAGCTCAAGCCCCCTCAACCTGTCACCGATGAATCATCTACTGCTGGTGACACTCCTGCGCCCAAGTCTGTCTCTGACCGATCTGCGCGTGAGCCATTGAAGAGGGAGAGCAGCACCGCGTCCAAGCAGTCCATCAACCCCGAAGCAGCGATGCGCGCATCTACTCTCGCTAAGGTCGAGAGCAAGCAAGACGCAGCTCGCGCAGCTATCATTAACGGTGGTGACAAGTCAGAAAAGAAGAAGAAGAAGCGCGCGGCCGCCACAGAGACATCTTCCCAGGTCTTTACAGCGCCTTCAGCTGTGGCTTCCACTGCTCCTTCCGCTCGTATGCCTGCACCTGCCCCCGCGTCTCTGCCTCCGTCTTACGCGCAGGCTGCTCAGGCGACACCGCAGTCCAAGTCTCCGGCGCCACCTGAGCCATCCGTTGCGCAGGAGCCTGCCAAGTCCAAGACTGCTGACACCACTGAAGCGCCGGAGTGGGCCAAACAGCTCATCAGCAAGCACCTCCAACGCCCAAGTGCCACATCTACCGCTGCTCCTTCCGCAGAGTTTGATGCCAAGAAGCTTGAGGAGGTCGTACAGGCTGAGATCACCAAGGGCTTCTCGCGCGAGCTGGACATCATGTACAAGCGTTTCGACGAGGACAAGCGCGTTATGAACGCAGCCAACGGCGCCCATCAGCAGGCCATCCTGCGCCAGGTGTCTAGCACACTCAACGAGAACGTTGAGGGTGTCATCGGCAAGATGGTCAATGACAACATCCGCAACGTTGTGCTTCCCGAGGTGCTGGCTAAGACCACTGCTACCGTTGAGCAGGGTCTGAGCGCCAACCTCAAGCCCATCTTAGCCCAGCAGTTGTCCAAGGAAGTTCCTGATGCCGTATCTCGATCCCTGAAGCAGCCCCAGATGTTCCAGTCACTCTCTGACCAGGTCGCGAAGAAGATTGCCGGTAACTTCGAGCCTATGATCGCTGCCTCAGTTGCCACCGTCGTCAACCCCGCCATGTCGAACTTGACCAACATGATCGAGCGTCAGATCGGCGGTGAGCTCCGACAAGCCCATGCTCAACGCCGTGAAGATGCTATCAAGATCTCCGCGTTGACCGAGACTGTGCAGACATGTCTAGAGACTATTCAGACTATGGCTGCCAACCAGATTGAACTTCAATCTCAGGTCGCAAAGCTCCTCGAGGCTCGTCAGGCTCCAGCTCCTCGACAAATCCAAGACTCGCCTGCTGCTACACGT